GGCCCACGGTGTGCACAGTCCCAGACGGTACTTGCTTGACTGGACCGGACTGGCTGGACTGGGACTGCTGACTCTGCGTGGTGGACTTCCACCACCTGCCCACTTGCCTAGACCTAAGTGGACTGACTTGTGAAAGGCCACTTCTAGACTCTCTACCTGGCCTTTCGGTACTGTAGCAGCTACGACTCTGCCCTTTCAGGTAAGTAGCAGCTATGACTTTGACCCTTCGGACAATCTACAGCTACGACCTCGGGACTGTCTAGACTCCTACCCGACAAGTCCGCAGTTCGAATCATTCATACCCCGTGACCTACAAGATCCTACCTACCACTGGCGGCTCTTCAGGTCGCAGGTTCAAATCTACGGGTTGACACCGTTACTGTACACAGGTAAAGTGGGGAACTAGGGATCGAGCCCTGGAATCTGCATCAGCTACTGCGAAGTGGTGAATACCGTTTCACTCCCTCCGGCCTAAATTCGAGGTCCTCCGAGAAAATTTCAGTCCAAGGCAGGACCTTTACCTTTGTGTTGCCTCTCGTAGGCCCGGACTATATCGGGAGCGGACTCTAGAAGTTCAGATCTCGTAAACCAGCGGTCATCTTCCGGCTCTTGATAAGCAAAATGAACCTTGTACTGTTTTTGTGGACGACCTCTACCTCCAGTCCTGAATACATCTTCAGCTACTATGCCCTCGATGTCATACCTTCCATCCATGGGATGGAAACTGATCACTTGTTTGACAAGGTAACAACTTCGATGCATGGAAAATTGGGTAAGTGTGGAGGTGTAAGGGGATTTCTATGGTATAGGACGGTCCATCTTCGCTGCCCTTGACTTCCAGAACCAGCCACGGTCTTCTATACGTAGGCAGTAAACTTCTGCGAAATGTTCTCTTCAGGCGCAAACTCTTTAGACTGGACCCAGACCAAGTCGCCTACCTGAAACTGTGAAGGGCGACGGTGCTTGTTCGCTTGCTCAATCATGAGGTGCTGGGCCTTCCTGAGATTCTCAACAACAGTTGCTATTTCTTTCTCGTGCTGAATCGCAAACTCCCTTGTACCGGGCGGTAGCCTGTGAATCTGATCCCGGTTAAGTCCCTCAAATGGTCTTCGTGGTCTAAAGGACTTATGGAGCTCATTGGGAGTGCGGCAGGTTGACAGGTGCAGGCTGTTGTTGTATGCGCTGGCTACCTTGGGAAGCATCTCATCCCAATTGACTTGATCAGGCCTAATGCACATGCGCAGGACTTGCTGCAGGATCTTGTTCATCTGTTCGGTTTGACCGTTCGTCTCCGGATGACGGCCAGATGACATTAACAACTTGGATCCGTAGACTTGCATCAATTCCTGCCAGTTTAGACTCGTGAATCGGGTATCTCTATCGCTAACTATAGACAGCGGAACCCCGTGTTCACTGACCCAGTGATCAAAGAATTTCTGAATTACTAATTCTGTTCTGGCTTCTAACGGCAAGGGTACAAAAATAGCATACTTACTAAATCTGTCTACCACGACCATAACTTGGCTCTTGCCATGCCTACTCTTAACGCCGGTGTCCATGAAGTCAATGGACACTGAATCTCCCGGCTGATCAGGGATAGGTAAAGGTCTGAGAAGTCCTAAAGCGGCACGCGTAGTTGACTTATTCCTCTGGCAGACTTTGCAACTGCGAACATACTCTATGCAGTCATTTTTCATTTCTGGCCAGGTGTACGCGCGCATCAAGTTGGCTAAAGTCTTCTGTCAACCAAAGTGTCCTTCGGTGTCGTGGCATTCCCCCAAGATCAGACTGCGGATCTCTTCGCTGTTGGGGATGCACAAACGGTCTACCACGTTACTCTTCTCAAACAACAACCCATCGGTAGTGCGGTAATATGGCTCGGACTCTGGGGCTTCCTTAACTCTCTTAAGGAGCTCACTATATATGGGGTCCTGCGTGTACGCCTCCTTAACCTTCTATTGTAGGTCTGATCCTATATCTAGATAATGGACTATGGCCCCAAAGTAATCAGCTCTCCTACTCAGAGCGTCCGCAACTACGTTATACTTCCCTTTAACTTGAGCTCAAAGTCATATTGATCTATTTCTGCGGCCCACCTAGTAAGCTTAGGTGTCATCTTGGCCTGCGTCTTTAACCATCGCAATGTCTCGTGGTCAAAATAGACTTTGAAATGCCTCCCAAGCAAGTAATGTTTCCAGTGTTCTAATGCTTGCCTGAGATCGTAGAGTTCCCTCTCATAGGTAGATGTCGCAACCTTCTCTGAAGGCATCCTAGCGGACATGAACTCTACGGGTCTATAACCATTGCCATCGTCTTGCTGCAACACAACACCTATGCCGTACTGGCTAGCGTCCGTAGTAACGACAAAGGGTAAGGACGGTTCGGCTACCTTAAGGACTGGATATTCTATTAGTGCCTGCTTCAACTTCTTCATAGCAGATGTGCAATCCTTATCCCACTTCCAGATGGTTTCTTTCCTCAGCAATCTGCGAAGGGGCGCAGCGATAGTGGAGAAGTTCCTCACGAACTTCCTATAGTAGTTAGCTAGGCCCAAAAACGACCGCAACTCTGTCAGCGTACGTGGCGTGGGCCAATCTCTAATCGCTGCGATCTTGCAATCTTCTGGCTTAACGCCGTCTCCGTCGAAGACGTGGCCTAAATATAAGACTTGGGTCTTCGCCCAATCGCACTTCTTTGCATTGATCTTGAAATTTGCTACCATGACCTAAACAAGTCGTTCATACAGCGCTGGAACGTCGCTGGCGCGTTGGTTAGTCCAAAGGGCATCACTATGAACTCATAGTGCCCATACCTAGTCCGGAAGGCTGTCTTATACTGATCATCAAGATGCACCTCTATCTGATGATATCCAGACTTCAAGTCCATCTTGGAGAAGTACTTTGCCCCCTGCACTCGATCTAAGAGATCGTCTATCCTAGGCAGTGGCTCGACATTCTTCACTGTAACATCATTCAGACCCCTATAGTCTATACACATCCTCAACTCTCCCTCTTTCTTGGGGACAAAGAGAACAGGCGCTCCAAAAGGAGACGAACTGGGCCTAATCTAACCCTTCTCAAGGAGCTCGTCTAATTGCTTGCGAAGCTCCTCTAACTCCCCGCGGGGACATCCTATACACGGCTCCTTTGGGAGTTCTACTGCTAGGCTCTATCTCAATGCGGTGTTGGATAGGCTGCGGTACTACTCCTGTCGGCGACTCAGCCAGGTCCTTGAACTCCTCCAGCAGCTTGGCAATCGTAGGGTCTATAGGCTTATCTTCCTTAGGCTCAGTTACTGGCCTAACATAGGCTACAAAGACCTGTTCTTCTAGGTGCTCCTTCTTCACGAATCTCACGAATGCAGGTGCACTAAGGCAGCAATGTGCCAGGGTATTCTCTACTCCTGGCACATGGAACAGGTGGGCAGTCTTAGCCTCGCTTGAAGGACTAGGGAGCTTACACTCGTGCTCTTTCAAATGGAGTGTGGCCCCGGCTGCCTCTCCCCAATCCATTTCCAGAACGATATCAAATGGGAGATTGTCTTCCACGAGGAGAGTCAGGGAGTGGAGGACCTTCTCCGCTTTCCCATCTTTCTCCAGGCGGAAATACGCCTGGACTCCCTCTACATAATCCTCTACGACCATTGTACGGTTGTCAGCGAGGATGCTAACTATGGGGTCTGCTAATTTCTGGACTTTAAGTCCCAGCTTCAACTTCTGCAGCGCTTTCTTACTAATATAGCTGCGGGTGGCCCCTGAATCTACTAGGGCCCCTACTCTACTTCTAAAGATCTCTGTGTCTACTAATATAAGCTGCCCTTTATTTTCCTTCTTCATCTTGGCCCAGGCGGGCATTCTCTCCTTCAATTCCTCAGCCACGCCTGTGAGGGAGGTGTCTAGAGAGACTCTAACACAAGCAGTCTCTGGACAGCGATCTAGACACCGGCCTTCAACCATTGCCATAGGCACATGTGGTGTGGGAGTCTCTTGCCGGCTAACGCTATATTCCCCACATGGCCTAATGGTAGGGGCAGTTGCTACCCCTACCGGCGGCTGCCTTTTGGCCCTTGAGCAGCCGTCCGGGTCTCTCTATACTTAGGACAGTATTTAATGATATGGCCCGGGTCACCGCAATAAATGCACTGGCCCCGGTCCAGACGTTGTTGCCATAAGCCCTGGTCCAGACCCAAACTTTCCCAAGGCCTACCCTGCGGTAGCCCTGGGTGCCATCCACCTACCCTATAGGGAGACCGATTCCTAGGACGGTTTTGCGGGGGACCTTGACCCCTTCCTCCCGCTTGGCGGTTTCCTCCTGTGCCGCCAACCCCCTGATCGCCCCGAAACCGGCTCCCTGAGGCCCGGCCCCCTTGGCCCTAGCCTCGTCCTCCTCCTTGCGGCCTCCCTCCAGCCGCGACAGCAGCATAAGTCCTCCCCTGGCTCGCACCGCTGTCCTCCTCCTCTAACCCCCACTCAATCTGTTCGTAAGGGATCTCGTCGACACTACCTTCATCTAAGGTAAGGACAAGACTATCCTTAGTCTTAAATTGCCCTGAGATAGTGCGACCTTTCCATTGCGTTCCTTTGTCGAGGTCTTTGTGCCAGAAGGTAGAAAGTGACACCGACTTCGCCTCGAAGGCCACCACTTCACGGCTAAGGGAATCATAAGTGGTGGCAGGATCTTTGTTTTTCGCGAAGAACTGCCCTCGAAAGGCTTCGGGCATAGCCCGATAGAAGAGGCCGACCAATTGGGCCTCCGTGACTCCATGGTCAGGGACAGCCACTAACTCATCCATCGTGCCCTTGAGTTCCCTGGCACTCTTCCATTTACGAGCATGGATGGTTTGGAGCTTATTTGAGGCCTTGACACTGCGAGCGACATCAGCGAATCGCTCGCGCAACAATTTCATGAAGTCAACGAGGGGAGTAAACGATGAATAGGCCACTGCATCATTGTTACAGTTGGCAGCGCGGACTAGGGACCTTGCAAAACTGGCGGCCCCGTCTCTAAGCGCATGAATCGCAATCAACACGTGCTGATCTGGGGAGACCTGTTCCAAATGCACATAGGTATTGACGTTTGCCTCCCAGTTGTCAAAGTTCTCTTCCCTTTTCCCACTGTAGGAATCAGGGAATTTGACTTTGACCGGCTCCCTACGAGGACGCGCTTCTTCCTCCTTGGGGGCTGCCACCTTGACGCCCTCAATGGCGCCCACGCAGATTCACCTCGGCTCCTAGAGCACCTACCAGCTCGCGGGCAAAGTCCCGAAATTCCATTCGCATCGAATGCACAGCTATATCCTGGCTTCGGCTAAACTCATATTGCTATTCTTGCACTCTGCCTAAACGCTCGACGCTCTGGGCGATAATCTCCACCTTTCGTTGGAGGTCTACCTGGGGGGTCAACTGTGTAGTTAAAGTCCGTACCTCTGCTAATTCCTGCATCGCTGCACTCGCCGCCTCCACTCTTCTCTTCTTCTCCCTCATCATTACAAGTTTCCACTCCATCCTCGTTTCATCTTCCATCGCCTGCCGCTTCAGAACATCTTCTTCTGCTTCCCATCTTTTCATAGCGGCTTCCTGCTCATCCTTGGGGATGTACATAGTTACCTCTTCTTCTTCGCCCAGGGATAAGTTGGCGACCCACTCCGAAATCCGTTTCTCCATCTCTTCATCTTTGCTGCCACTGTGCTGCCCTCTCCTCCTTTCCAGTGGCGGTTCATCTTCTTCTTCCTCTTCCACCTCCTTCAACTTCTCCTCTTCTTCCTTCTTCAACCTCTATTTTTTTTTGGCCATCTCCTCCTCTATCTTTTTCAACTTTGCCGCCTGCTCCTCCTACAGGGCCTTCTTCTTGGCCTCCTTCTCTTTTCTCTCCTGCAGGATGGCGGCCATCTTCTCCTCCTCCTCCTTCGTGTAAGGTGTAGTGGAGGTGCCGCCCCGGGTGCCTACTCTACACGTGAGCRTGGGCCAGAATCCYAGKGGGAAGAGGAGACGCCAGAGGGTCCCCCACAAGGAGAACCCAACAAGTAACCCATACATCGGATAGTCATCCATGGTGGTGTCAGGTGCACGACAAGGAGTCCCACTCCTCACCACTTAGACCTACCCAGACACCGACACACTGACTGACTCTCTAGAGGCCACAGGGTGGAACCCTGTCAACTATGGTCACTACCCCAGACCTACTCTAAGGCTGTCACTACTGAACCAACAACTGATCAGGAGGCATTTAAGGAGATCCCCCGTAACTCCTCAAGAATTCTTTAACGTCGCAGTCAGGACGACGTGATCAGCGTGGTTCTGCCTGTGCTTTCAAC